ATGTGGATGAACTGAGAGGATACTATGTTAAGCAAAAACGGCAGGCACAGAAAGACAAATAGCATGTGATCTCACTTATTTGAAGACTTTAAAAAGTCAAACTCAGAGAAGTAGAGTAGAATAGTGGTTAGGGCCTGGCATTGTGGCAGAGTGGGTGAAGCCTCCACCTGTGATACCAGCATCCCATATAGGCACTGATATGAGTACAAGCTGCTCCACTTCCAATCCAGTTCCAGGCTAATGGCCTGGGAAAAGCAGTGGAGGAAGGTCTCTGCTGCCCAAGTGGGAGACCCTGATGAAGCTCCCAGCTCCTGGCTTCAGGCTGCATCAGCCTCAGCCATTGTGGCCACCTGGGGAGTGAACCAAAGTATGAAAGATGAATCTCTGTGTTTCTTCCCTCTCTGTGTGACTCTGACTTTCAAATAAAGAAATAAAGGTTAAAAAAATAGTGGTAGGCCGGCGCTGCGGCTCACTAGGCTAATCCTCCACCTTGCGGCGCCGGCACTCTGGGTTCTAGTCCCCGTCGGGGCACCGGATTCTGTCCCGGTTGCCCCTCTTCCAGGCCAGCACTCTGCTATGGCCAGGGAGTGCAGTGGAGGATGGCCCAAGTGCTTGGGCCCTGCACCCCATGGGAGACCAGGAGAAGCACCTGGCTCCTGCCATCGGATCAGTGCGGTGCGCTGGCCACGGCGGCCATTGGAGGGTGAACCAACGGAAAAAGGAAGACCTTTCTCTCTGTCTGTCTCTCTCACTGTCCACTCTGCCTGTCCAAAAAAAAAAAAAAAAAAATAGTGGTTATCAGATACAGGTAGTGGGGAAAATGAAGAGATATTAATCAAGGGATACACAATTTCAGTCAGGTAGGAGGAAAAAGTTGAAGGGATTTATTGCACAACATGACTGATGGGCACTCTGGAGTAACAGGTAAAGCTGCTGCCTGCAGTGCTGGCGCACCATATGGGCACTGGTTCGAGTCCCAGCTGTTCCACTTCCAATCCAGCTCTCTGCTATGGCCTGAGAAACAGGAGGAGATGGCCCAAGTCCTTAGGCCTCTGCAGACATGTGGGAGACCCAGAAGAAGCTTCAGGCTCCTGGCTTCAGATTAGCACAACTCCAGCCATTGCGGCCATCTGGGGAGTAAACCAGTGGATGGAAGACCTCTCTCTCTGCCTCTGCATTTGTGAATCTGCCTTTCAAATAAATAAATAAATCTTTTAAAAATGACTATAATTAATAATAGTATATTGTATACTTAAAAATCATGACACTTGAACATCACTAAAAGAGTACAGAAGATTTTAAGCGTTCTCACCATATAAAAAAACAAAGACAAGTATGTGAGGTAATGCATATGTTAACTGGCTTCATTTGACCATTCCATAGTGTCCATTTGTATATTTCAAAACATCATATTATATACCACATATACAATTTATTTACCAATTAAAAATAAGAAAAGGGCCAATTTTTGATATTTGTATCACAAAACATAAATCATTGCTATGATGATGTTTTCATCTACTAGAGCATAGCAAATGTGGTGCTAAGTGTCTACAATAACAACAGGTTCTAGGAAACCAGGTTATTCAATTACACTTCTACTTGAAAATGGTTCTAAGAAGCCAAAGCCAATGCATACCTTTATGGTTTTAAGAGAAAGCATAAGGGAGCTGACGCTGTGGTGTAGCAGGTAAAGCCACTGCCTGCAGCGCCAGCATCCCATATGGCCACCACTTCGAGTCCCAGCTGCTCCACTTCCAATCCAGCTCTCTGCTATGGCCTGGGAAAGCAGCAGAAGATGGCCCAAGTCCTTGGGCCCCTACCCCTGCATGGGAGACCCGGAAAAAGCTCCTGCCTCCTGGCTTCGGATCGGCACAGCTCCAGCCATTGCAGCCAATTGGGGAGTGAACCAGCAGATGGAAGACTCTCTCTCTCTCTCTCTGTCTCTCTCTCTCACTCTGCCTCACCTTCTCTTTCTGTGTAACTCTGACTTTCAAATAAATAAATCAATATTTAAAAAAAAAGAGAGAGAAAAAGCATGAAGAGGATCTTTCCTTCATCACCCATGGGCAACCTGGGGCCTTATGGCCATTCTGAGGGAACTGGTGCTGAATGTTCTTCTTTGAGCATTCTATGGACACTAGGCAAACCTAGTTTTTACTTAACCGAATGAAAATGGTGATGGGCAACTAGGTGGGACATAAGTTCATAGTCACTAAATATCAGAACTAATGAGCTCATCAAGTCTCATTCAAACGGAAGGGGAATTTTATTATCCTTCATGTAAGACAGTCTCTCAAAGTCTCACGTATTGTTGAAGACTCTTCCACAACTGCTATTTGAACAACAAACCACCATTTTTTGGGTCATTTTCTTCTTCTTCTTCTTCTTCTTTTTTAAGATTTTATTGAGAGGCAGAGTTACAGACAGAGAGAAAAAGACAAGAGAAAAGTCGTCCATTCTCTGGTTCACTCTGCAAATGGCCGCAATGGCTGGAGCTGGGCCAACCCAAAGCCAGGAGTCAGGAGCTTCTTCTGGGTCTTCCATATGGGTGCAGGGGTCCAAGCACTTGAACCATCTTCCACTGCTTTCCCAGGCCATAAGCAGAGAGATGGATCCGAAGTGGAACACCAGGGACTCAAACCAGCACAGTAGGCAGAGGCTTAGCCTAAAACACCATAGCACTGGCCCTGGTCATGCTCTTCTTGTGCTTTATATTTTTCAACCCTGAAGTTGTCATGGGAAAATTACAAGAAGAAAATGTAATGTAATGTAAACTATTGAAAATGTCATACCTATAGAAGTCACTGACAAAAATCCTTTGCAAAACAAATAATTGATAGGTAATATTAAAATGCAATTATTCCTTGAGAAATGAACTCAAAGTACAATTGTTGGATGGGGTATTAAATAACCCTTTAATTTTAGACATCACTGAAGAAAGCAAGCCATACCTCATGGATATTAGGCATATTCACCTACAAGAAGTATGGAAATGGATCCTTGTGACTGGGAATACAATTGTTATAAACAGTATAAAATAAGGACCAAAAGTGAATTTGTAACCAAAACAGCTTAGATATAATGAAAATGAAGTGCTTTGCAAAATGCATTAGGAGACTCAAAAAAAAAGTGGCTCTCTTGATGACCAACTCTGCAATGTGGGAGATGGATGCAGGGTCTGAATTAACACTGCTTCATGAGAAGGCACATTCCTTTCAGGAGAAGGTGAGAATCCTTCTGAAGGAGCACGACACAGAAGTGAAAGATCTGGGAACAGCCAGTGTGGCAAAGGCGATGCCTATTGCAGAAGGACCTGCTGGGGAAGGACCTACAGAGCAAGGACCTGTGAGGTAAGGCTGGTGCACAATCAATGCCTCCAAGTCTTTGAAGAGCAGTCATGTGGAAGACAGAGTGGATTTACTGTGTATTTTCAGATAGCAAAAGTTAAATGAACGGATGAAAATTATAGGGAGGCAGATGTTTGCTCAATAAAGCAAGCACTTTATCACAAATAAATCCATCCGACATTGAATTTGAAAAGTCATGTGGAAATATAGGTTTCCTATCAACTATAAGAAAAGAAGATGGGATAAATTGCCTTTAAAGTCCTTTTAATGCGAAGATTCTAGGATTTTATCAAATTATTTCCACATTGGCAACAAGACTGCATTTATTATTTTGAAGAGTCACACTCTTTTCATTTATCACCTATTTTTAAACTGGTTGCTCTGTGCAAATCATCACATTAACTTCTGTGGGTAATAAAACTTACATAAAAAAGATAGGCAGAGGCTTATGACTGAAGAAGGTTTTATATATATGCAGACATGTTGACATGGACCATAACATACATGACAAGCCACTCCTGGAGTTATGTGTGTGCATATACGTTGACAAGCACCATAACATCCATGACAACCACTCCTGGGGTGGGGCTTTGTGCCAAGGTTAAAGCAGACATGCAATGAGGCATGACCTGGTTAGAATTTTCATCTTCTCTGCTAAGACACCTCTTAATTGCCCTGTCTCAGGGCCAGGCTATCAGTCTGTCCAAGAATAAACTGACTCATCCATACTGAAGATATGAGTCAGATATTTTGGCTTTGCTGTGAAGCCTTTCTTGGCTTGGACACAAGACACTGACACATTGTCTTCCAATTTCCCAATTTCTCAAGAGCTATCATACAAAGAATGAACAATAGGAATTATCCAATAGGCCTTCCAAAGGCAATACCCAAGAAAGCAATCTTGGAATTTCTTAAAGTCACTGTTTGCTAAATTTTCGTCTTGATCACAAGATGAGTCAACCACATGAAATCATCAGTTTGAAGGCAATCCAACAAAGGAAAACAATTCAGGGTTAGCATTAATGAGATGCAACAATTTTGGTGTATGAAAGGCTATAAATTTACCCAGCATTGCAGAGAAAAAGTTGAAAAATACTATTGCAGCATAATGATAGTCAATGATAAGAATACAGGTAAAATATTCAATGGAAGCAACCACATTTGATGAAGTAATCCTTGAACAATTTTTTTTTAAATCATAAACAAAAGCTGTATGAACCAAGCCGGCGCCGCGGCTCACTGGGCTAATCCTCTGCCTTGCGGCGCCGGCACACCGGGTTCTAGTCCTGGTTGGGGCACCGGATTCTGTCCCGGTTGCCCCTCTTCCAGGCCAGCTCTCTGCTGTGGCCAGGGAGTGCAGTGGAGGATGGCCCAGGTGCTTGGGCCCTGCACCCCATGGGAGACCAGGAGAAGCACCTGGCTCCTGGCTCCTGCCATCGGATCAGCGCGGTGCGCCGGCCGCAGCGGCCATTGGAGGGTGAACCAACGGCAAAAGGAAGACCTTTCTCTCTGTCTCTCTCTCTCACTGTCCACTCTGCCTGTCAAAAAAAAAAAAAAAAAAAAAAAAAAAAAAGCTGTATGAACCATTCGATTTTCTCCTCAACTAATCTGAAAATGAAAGTTTCCTCAGTTGTAACTGGAGACACTGACCTGAGATTGCTGGAAAAGGATGCTTTTGTCTGGGTTTATGCCGCAGGCAAGAAGGGCAGCAGTCATATCCAGGATGCTCTGTCGGAGGATGGTTGGGTCCTGGGGGACTGTGATGGAGTGGAGGTCAACGATGCTGTATAGCACAGAGCCATCCTCATCCTGCAGCCTCACCCAGTTCTCAATGGCTCCCAAATAATTGCCCAGGTGCGGGATTCCTGTAGGCTGGATGCCAGAAAACACTCGCTTCATGCAGTCCTTCTGGAACAAAGAAAAACAAGCATATTTTGCCACAACTCTTTGGTCTACTTTACCATAGTTATGATAGTTGGTTCTGTTTTTGTACACTGCAATTCAACAGAGCATCATCATCATCATTATCATGCATTTATTTTGTACCTACTCTGTACAAATCACCATGCTAGGTGCTATTAGGGGTAGAAAATAAAATATGAGCTTTTTATGTTGTTCTGTTTATTGGCACTCAAAAGCTTACAAACACATTGCTACACATGAAAAGGTCTCCAACTCCTCAGAAAATGCATTACAGGAGATACATGGTAGCAACATGGTCAAGACCAGACTGGAAAGGCAAATAGGGCACAGGCAGAAGTTCCCAAGAGGAAAAGACAACTGTGTTTCCAGCAGTCAAGAAGAAAGGCTACAGATACAGGGTCAAAACTCACTGGAGATGAAAGAGGCAGTTAAGGGTTATTTTGCAACCAAGTAAGTGAAGCCACAGGATTAGGGATAAAGGCTACTGCTATTTAAGTTTTTTTCTTTTTTTTAAATAATTGCTGATATTATAATTTAGTTTGCAAAATCCTGGGCTAGGAAATAGGAGACATTCTATTTCTGATATACTCCTTGATAGTTGACATTTTTGTGCTTCTGTTTCCTCTCACTTTGGACAAAACATACTTGGTTTTTTATTTCTCCAAAAGAAGTTTTCAATTTTAACTATTTATAAAAAGTTTTGTCATATTCTTCTTTTTATCTGTATTTTGAAGTTTTAATAGGAAAATCAGAAGAAATAAAAGGTAATACAGGGCACAAAAATTCTGCTGTCCTCTGAATGAATTTATATTTTACAGTGAAAAATAAAAAATAAGTATGTATCAGTAAATGTGCTGTAATACATAGTTCCAAAAAAATAAAATGCATCATTATCACTTTTAACCATGATCAGCATAAAAGATGAGCAATGCCATAATTTATAGCAACTGTGGTGTTTAATCCTTACCCAATCCATACCTAAAATGGAAAGTATATTAGTACCTCCAATCTACAGATGAGAACACTGAGGATCACACAGCTCCTAAGTGGGGCAGATGGGATTTCAGGCTTTCTCCACTAGGTACCATGTGTTGCTTAGCCATAGTCTATTAAGACTTTATTATATTCCTCATACTGATTTTGCAAACTTCCTGTAGGTCTGAAATGTGCAAATTAAGTTACAAGGGAAAATTATCATTCTTGTATGTGTGTCTTTGTGTATGAGTATTATGTGCCAACTGTCTCTAGTGCATATGCCTAGGAGCAGAGTTGCTGAGTCATAAGGTACCTAAATGTATGTTAACTCTGTTACAATCTAGTGAAGTATTCCCAAGTAGGTAATACTATATACTTTGTACCACCAGCTCCTGTTACAACACAGCCTCTTCAACACATAATACTGCCAATCTTTATTGTTATCTAATCTGTTGGAAATGAGGTATAATCTCATTACGGTCTAATTTTATCTCTGATTATTAAAGAAGTTGATAACTCTTTTATGATTGCTGGCTATTTTTACTTCCTCTTCTCTAAAGAGCCTATTAAAGTCATGCTGTCTGATATTTTTGATTAGATTATATCTTTTTTGGATTTAGAGGTCTGTATACTAATAATTTGTCAATCACTTGTGGAGCAGGTATTTTCTCATTCTGTGGCTATTTTTCTTCTTTTATATTATCTTTTGATGAAGAGAGATTCTTAAATTCATCAAATATGTAACTTTTGACTACAGATATGTCATAGAAGAAATCTTCCAATACCCTGAGGTCATGAAAACATGAGTATTTATACATGTATACATATATAAAGTGTGTGTATGTGCCTTAAATTTGTGTTTTACATTTAGATCTTTATCCATTTGGAGATTGTTTTGAATATGATGTGGGGTAGGCATCTGATTTTTTCCCCTTATATGATATCTGATTGATACAGCATCATTTCTTGAAAAGACTGCCTTTTTCCACTACTCTGAAATGCCATCTGTCATAAACCAAGGATCCTTATATGATGAATCTGCCCAGGGCTGGTCTTTCTGTCCCATTAGTCTATGTGTCTATATTTATCAAATCACCCTTTAATAAGTACTAGAACCTGATGAAGTGAGTCTTTCCCCCCTTTTTTTTTTTTTTTGTTTGTTTGTTTTAATCAAGAGTATTCCAGCCATCCTTGGCCCTTTGTACTTTCCAATACATCTTCAGAAGCATCTTGTCTGATCCCAAGAGAAAAAAAAAATCTGTTGCAGTTTTGACCAGGATTACCTTAAGTGTATAGATAGCTTTGGATGGAAACAATATCTTTACAATATTGAATCCTGCAGTCCAGGAAATGATGAACCATGTTAACCCTACACTAGCTTCTGGGAGTCAATCTACCTGAGCTAGGTGAATGCCAAGGCTATTTAAATTCTTCCCTTCCCATTACCCCCAAACTCCAAATCCTACAAATGCAGTCTAGTTTCCTCTGTATTCCTAAGAAGGCACCCCTCAAATAGGATGCCTCTTCATAGCTCCATGGTTCAAGTCTTCAAGGGGAGGCCTCAGACCTATGGTTCTGACAGTATGAAAAGTATCTTTTATGTAACTCAAAATAAATATAATCCACACATACACACATACAGTCTCAAAATTACTAACTTGCAAAATCACAATTAAGAAACAGTATTTTTAAAACAGTTCCTAATTGAGAATTCAGCCCAGAGGTGGGGAGGGGGTGAAGGGGGAAGAGGAAGAGAGAGAGACAGAGAGAGAGAGAGAGAGCGTGCGAGCGAGAGAACTGAGTGAATACATATGAGTGAGCTTTCCTCGGTATCAAGGGACCTTAACCATCTCTGGGTTCCTGATATGGGAATAAGCAAAGGAGTTTTCAGTGTAGTAAAAAATGATTAATGGTCTTTAGGGTTGATTGATGAAGAGAGAAAGCAAAGCAGAAAAACAAACTCTGAACTTAATAAATAGAAAGGAGAAAAAAACCATCCAGAAATACTTGACCTAGGAAGAAGAGACTGTTTATGGTAATATAAAGGGTTATGAAGACCAGCAATATTAAACTGAAAAAAAGAATATGAATATTTCCACATAAATTCCTCCATGGTCAAACTAAGAAATTATTCCCCAAGAGAAATGGAGAAAACAAATTCTTGAGAAAACTAGAAGAGAAAAGCACTACAAGAGAGACTGTGGGAAAAAGGATCTGTGACCAGTGGGAATGGGCTAGACATGATCTAATGCATCTTTTCCATTCTCTGGTTTCTGGGACTCTACACACCAGTGCAGAAGGAATGATTTTTATCAAGAAATAAGAGCAACAAGAACTGTTTCATTCAATTTTCAAGGAACTATTGAAAAAATACAGTTTCTAAATGGGAATTGGATCCCTGGTCTTAAAAAATATACAGAGAGTGTCCTGCTCTTCAGCGGTGAGTTTATGTTCCTGTCTGTTCCCCCTGCAGGAGTCAGCAGGCAGCCTCACAGCATGGCAGGGGACATACTCCTGGCACCATGAAATCACAGGGTTGGAATGCAGAGTTGGGGTGGTGGGAGGTTGGGGGTTCTGTGTTCAAAAGCACTAGAGTAGGAAAGAATGAAAATGAAAGGAGCACAGGCTTCCCAGTGGACAGCAGGCAAACCACAAAGAAAACAGCTTCAAGACTAACCCACAGGCATCGCCTCAAGGGAAGGCTGGAGCATCAGCCCACAGTTCCAACCTGGTGCATGGAGGACAGAAAAGCAGCTCATTACCCAGAGGTCTGTAATGTCATTTCAGGCATATGCTCCCAACAAATGCCCTTTCTGTCCACACTGGCTCATTTTACAGCAGACCCACCACTGCCACTGGGCAGCTCTAGGCCTGGGATTCAATATACAACAAAAGAGAAGGTGGGTGTTGGAATCTAACATGGCACACACTTGCCAATTGACAGAGCTAAAACTACTTCTGTTGTAAGCTACTGAGCATAACCAAAATTTATAATTTTCTCAATTTTAATTACTGGGCTCAAAAGAAATTGAAAAATTTCAAATGTAATTATGGCAAAAAGGCAATTTTTTTTGTGATTGCCCAAAGGAAGCTTCTGTCTTTGACATCAAGTGGATGAGACATATCAGAAGAAGACCGCTTACCAGCTTCTCAAACACTGTCAACCTCAGTATCATGGTGGGAAACAAACGTTCTAACTCCTCTTGCACGGTCCTGCTTGTGCCCAGCTGTCACATCGATTGTTCATTCATCAGCTTCGTTTTCATAACAGTCACGAAGTAAACCCAGAACAACCTTTATGTCTTACCAGAATAGCATTTCAATCACAGATACTAATTAAAAAAAGAGTAATCAATAACAATACCTGCTAATCAGGCTGGACATTTCTTTCTATAAGTCTACTGATTGTTCTAATTGTGTATAAATTCAGGCTATCATTGGACCTCTCCTTCCATAGCTCTTTGATAGTGTCGCTCAAGTCTATCATTTACATTGTACCCAGGGCTGTTTCAACCCTGGGCTCCTGAAACATACCTTCAACACTTTCATGACAGTATCTCTGTAATTAAGGATTTAAAAGTTACCAGGGAGGAGGCACAGAAAAACAGCACCATCGCCCTGCCTGAAGGAGCCTCCTCCAGGGCTCGGCTTTGGCCTCAGCTCAGATGTGTTCTGCCGCAGTCAGCGCTTTCCTCCAGGAAGCTTGGACAGCCCTGGTCCGTGGAGAAACGCTCACTCAGCACCAAGAAAAATGGGTTCATTGCTGCTTAGAAATGAAACCAGATGCTCAGACATGGGAATCAGTATAGTAAATATTAATTCAGTATAGGGGAAAGCAGGTCTTATATCACCCCCAAATGAGAAACAATACACAGGTCAACAATGAAAACTGAAAAAAAAATATTTTTAAAAAGAAGGAGTACAGGCCGGCGCCGCGGCTCACTAGGCTAATCCTCCGCCTTGCGGCGCCGGCACACCGGGTTCTAGTCCCAATCGAGGCACCGGATTTT